ATGATAGAACTAGAATAGAGATTTTCTCATATAACCGTCGCAAAATCGTCATTTTCTTGTAGTGATTTCCCTATCTGCCGATGAAAGATCTTATCCATGAGTCGTTGGTAGGTTGCCCTGCATTTCTCAAATCGAATGGCATCACTTTGTAGCAGAAATTGGATGAATCAGTGATGAATGCAGTTTTTTCTTCATCCAGTGGGTACATGGGTATTTGATTATACCCTGAGTAAGCGTATAAGAAACTTAACCTCTGATGACCTGCTGCTCCGTCGACCAACGCGTCTATGTGTGGCAGGGGATAAGCATCTTTCGGGCATGCCTTGTTCAGATCTGTGTAGTCGGTACACATCCGCCATTTTTCATTTGCCTTCTTGACCATTACCACATTGGCCAACCAAGTAGAGTACTTGACTTCCCTGATGAACCCTGCTTGAATCAACTTGGTTGTCTCTTCTTTTACCGCTTGGGCCCTTTCTCCTTGCATTTTTCTTTTCTTTTGGGCAATGGGCTTGGCGTCTCAGCACACTGAGAGTCGGTGACAGTGAAAGCTTGGATCGATGCCTGGCATGTCGGCGACTGTCTAGGCAAATAGGTCCGTGTACTTCATGAGGATTTGCTTAATGTCTCTTGACTCGGCCTCTGACAATTGGGAACTCAAGTAAGTGACCTGTTCTTTATTTTTCGCTAGCTGAAATGAGACTATTGTCTCTATTGGTTCAACCCGGTATTCATCTTCAATTCTCGGATCGAGCTCTAGGTCGAAAATCGGCCTTTCTTCTCGGACATCATCGATGACATTGACATCTCGCCTAGGCTTAGGAGTTGGCTGTTCCTTTAAGCTGGCAAAGTAACATTCGCGAGCCATCTTCTGGTCGGTGTGTAGGGTGATTACCGTTCTGGCTTCGGAGGGGAACTTCATAGCCAAGTGAGGGGTGGATAAAATAGCTCGGAGCTTGTTCAAAGAGGGGCAGCCCAATAGGATGTTGTACGAGGTATTAGTGTGCACCACCACATATCGTACTTTAACCCTTCACCCTTGTTGTTCATCCCCGAAGTAGGTGTATAGGTCTATCATTCCCCTGGTGTCCACTCGTTTGCCCGAAAATCTGACTAAGGGCTCGTTGTAAGGTGCTAATTCGTGTTCGGGAATACCTAACTATTTGAAAGTTTTCCAATACAAGATATCGGCTGAACTTCCCTAATCCACTAGTGTCTTCCTCACGATGCAGTTGTTAATCTCTATACTGATGACCATCGGGTCGTCCTGCACTGGGTCGACCCCCTGAAAGTCCTCGTCGGTGAAGGTGATGGGGGGCATGTGGACTGATCCCGCTCAGGTTACCGCGGTGATCGATCTGATCTCTCTCAAGTGTCTTTTACGAGCCGAGCATGTGGCTCCCCCTCCTACGAACCCTCCAACGATTGTATTTATTACCCTTCTAGATTGATTCCAATCTCATTGCTGATCGTTCCTTTCTTGAGACTTGATGCGTTCTCGGGATCTATACCTTGGAGGTGCCCTTTCGCAGTTTCCCCTTTCGGACTCCCTCTTATCATGGTAACTATCATATCTCTTTCTGCCCGAGGGTTGAGTGAAGCTTCGAAGATGCCTTGATTTAACGAGGTCTTCAATACAATCTCGAAGGGTTGTGCACTCCTCGGTGGTGTGTCCCCTGTTTCTGTGAAATTGACATGTTTTGGTCTTGTCCGCGTGGGGCGGAGTCATTGCACGACGGGGCACTATGAGGATCTTTGTGGCCAGGGCCTGCTCCAACACCTTGGCCCTGCTGGTGTTAAGCATCGTGTATTGTGCATATTTGGGTCCCCTATTATTCCTCTCCCGATCAGGTGCGTCTCGAGGGAGAGACCTTGGAGGATGCTCCTTTTCAGCTTCTTTTTTCTCGAGGAAGAGGTTGGGCCAGTTCTGGTTCCTGAATTCGGCCAACTCTTCCATCTGCATGTACTTGGTGGCTCTCTGCCTCAAGTCATCTAGGTATCGGGGTGGCTTCTTACATAGGTTGTTTACGAAGGGTCCTGGCCTTAATGCCATGGTGAGGTGGTGCATTGCCACCGATGGGTCTAGGTCTCGGATGGATAGGGGCACCTTTCTGAACCGTTCCATGAAGGTTCTTAGAGGTTCCTTCTTTTCCTGGCGAATATTGACCAACGCGATGGAGGTGAGCTGATGGGGTCGGCTCGTAGCGAATTGTATCACAAATCGGGAGGATAAGGTTGCAAACGAGTCTACCGATCCTGTGGAGATTCTTGTGAACCAACTCAATGTTGGTCCTTTCAACGATCTAGGAAAGACCTTACACATGACCGCATCTTCGTCGGTATATAAACCAACTTGTGTGACGAAGGAATCAAGGTGTTCCTCGGGGTCAGTGGTTCCGTCATACCTTTCCAAAGCCAAGTTCTTCCAATTGTCCGGCAACCGGGCACCGGCGATGTCAGGAATGAACGATATTTTCCCTTGTCGTCGTTGCTGATCCATGTCGCAACCTGAAAATTTCCGATCTTGCGACCTATGGTTTAGACATCCTTTTGAAAATCTCATCAATTAAGGAATGCTCGGACACCAGACTAATCCTTAATTAATAGTTTTAAAAAATAGGTTCATGGAGTCACCACCAATGTTTTACTCAAAACATTGGAAAAAGAAAAGGTTTTTAAAAGTCCAATAATGGCCTTGATATCCATAATTGGGTTCGGGGGTCGGTTACGTGTAAGGAAAGTATTAAACACCCCTACAACGCCCTAAATCGGTACCCTATGATGAAGATAACGTAATAAGAATTAATAGTTTAAATATTTAATCCCTTTTATTAATGATTATTTATATGAAAATTAAATTAATCAATGAACCTTAAAATATCTACATAATTGTGTTTATTATAGAAATTTATGAAATAAAAGAAGAGAAAGATAGAACAAGAGATTGATGAATAATACCTCGTATCAAGCTTTATTAGATCTTCAACTATGGAGATTTTAGGTGCTTTGCGGCAACCTTTCACACTACAATATGCCTCACAAAACTCAAGAAATACAATAAGAGAGAGAGAGAGAGAAATTTCGAGTTCTAAGGAGTCTTGGACGAAATTTTTGAGGTCCTGAGAACTGTGGTCGAGATTTCTATTTATAGGCATCAGATGTGGACCGGAACGGCCCGTTCTGGATTCGAAACGGCCCATTCCGGATCCAAACGTTATGTATTATTTTAGCACCCTAGAATGGCCCGTTCTGAAATCAGAACGGCCCGTTCCGGGAACTAGAACAACCCATTCTGAAATGAGAACGGCCCGTTCCCGGGTACAAATTTTAGGCCCTTTGATTGGTTTGGAACGACCCGTTCTGGTCTGGAACGAACCATTCCAACCTACAATTTTTAGGCCTTTTTAGGTGTCTTGGAACGGCCCGTTCCAATTCAAGAACGACCCGTTCTGGACTTGGGAACGACCCGTTCTAATTTTGGAACAGCCTGTTCCGGGCCACTAAAACTGTTGATTTGGGCTTTTGGGCCTTCTAATGTCCTATCTTGTTGATTGTATGCTCCCGGACGAAATTGGGTGTCTACAGCTGCCCCTCTTTACTTGTCCTTTGGAATAGCTGTGTTGCTTTTCCAAAGGCAAGTAAAGACGTAGACATTTCTTCTTTGTCTTCTTCTCGTCTCTGTGTTGATGCTCCTACGTTGCTTCCCTTGGATAGGTACATTTTCTCGTATCCTCACCCTTTAGAGCAGTTGAGCATTGATTGCGTTACTCTATTGGGTAATAAGGTTGACAAACTGTACACTTGATCTTTACTCCATTGTTTCTCTTGTGATGATGTGTCCCTTTATTTGTAGCTTGTTTAAGAGGGAGTATATTATGAGCTCCTCTCCAGACTGGACTGATATTTAGGGCTTTAGCCGGCCCATGGTGGGAGCTCGACAGCGATCCGGTTGTGACTTCGAGGAACTCGATGGTTCCCTCGCTGTAATTCTTGATCTGAGAGGCTCGACGGCGGCTCTTCAATCAAGATGGACTGATTTCAAGGCTTCAGCTGGTGATAGACCATGGGCTAAGGGCCCAGTCACTAGAGATATGGCTAGAAGAATTCAAGAAGAGTTGGACCTCTTGAAGACTAGTGGGCTTCTCAAGCCCAAGGTATTCTTCACTTGGACTACTCTATCATAAAGAGAAGGCCTAGTTCTACTTGTGTATATTGTATAGTTTGTACATAGTTCTCTTGTATAGGTTATTTTGCCTTTGTATTTGTGAGGCACTTTACTTGTTTTTACTAGTGTTTGTATATTGATTTTAAGGTAGGTTACTTGGAGAGTTTAACTCCATTTAACCTCCCTAGTTGTTACATGCATTTTATATTTTTTCAGTAGGGAAAAAGGGGTGGTATTTAGCAATGTTTGAGGGTGTGACTAGTAATTGGGCCAGAACTGGGCCTAGGCAAAATTTTGCATATTAGACTCATTTTGCTCCTAATTTTTCGTAGATTTGATTTAGCTAGGTCTCATCATCATATGATGAACCTAACTAAACCAAATCAAATAATTTTGAAATAAATCATGGAGCATTTTGGAGCCTTGGCCGCCTAGCCTACATCTTTGTTCTTGGCCGAAATTGGCTAGTTTCTCCTTCAAGCTTTGAAGCTTTCCTTCCAAGTTTCAAAACCTTGGTAGGTTAGGCTGATCTTACCATGGTTCTTAAGTGAACCATGGTCAAGGTTAGCTTCTCCTACAAGTTATAGAAACCATGGATGGTTAGCTACACCTTACCACGATTCCTAGTGAACCATGGTTAAGGATAGCTTACACTACAAGCTACCTCTCCCTATATATTTGTATTTTCTTTACTTGTATTCACTTTTGAACATTTGAGAAATAAAACTTCAGATTTCTCTCTCAAGAGTTTCTCCCAAAATCGCAGAGAATTTTCTCTCTAAGGTTCTCACCAAAGGTTTTCAACCTTTGCCTTGGTTCCTCAAGCTTCCTTCACAAGCTAAGGAGTAACCGATCCACTTTCAAGTGCTTCTACTCCATTGAAGCTTGCGTCAAGGAGTTTTGGACTTCATCTCAAAGCATCCTCAAGAGTTTCTTCGGTCCTTGCATGGAGAACTTGAAGAATTAACATTCTTCTCCAAGTAGCTCCATCAGCCGACCTATGGTGGGAGCTCGAAGGCAGTCCCAATTTTAACTTCGAGGAACTCGACAGTACCCCCACTGTCATTCTTGATCTGAGAGGCTTGACGACAGCTCTTCAATCAAGATGGACTGATTTTAAGGCTTCAGCCAACCTATGGTGGGAGCTCGACGGCGGTCCCAATTTTGACTTTGAGGAACTCGGCGGTACCCTCACTATCATTCTTGATCTGAGAGGCTTGACGACAGCTCTTCAATCAAGATGGACTGATTTTAAGGCTTCAGCCAACCTATGGTGGGAGCTCGACGGCGGTCCCAATTTTGACTTTGAGGAACTCGGCGGTACCCTCATTATCGTTCTTGATCTAAGAGGCTCGACAGTGGCTCTTCAATCAAGATGAGTATTGACGTCCTTTATAAAGGTGGACCTCGAACCTTTGATGGATGCTCGACGACGCTTCTTTTTTATTTTTTTTTACTTGAGGAACTCGACGTTGCCCTCATGGTTATTCACTGATTTGAGAGGCTCGACGGTGACTCTCGATCAAGCTAGACTGATTTTAAGGCTTCAGCCGGCCTATGGTGGGAGCTCGACGGCAATCCCAATTTTGTCTTCGAAGAACTCGACGGTACCCTTGTTGTCATTTACTGATTTGAGAGGCTCGACGGCGGCTCTCGATCAAGCTAGACTGATTTTAAGGCTTTAGCCAGCCTATGGTGGGTGCTCGACGACAATCCCTATTTTTTTAATTCAAGGAACTCGACGGTATCCTCGTTGTTGATTATTGATTTGAGCGGCTCGATGGCGACTCTCAACTTGGATGGTTGTTGATATCCTTTGAAAGAGAACCTTTGAAATCTTGGGTAGATATTTGATGGTGATTCCTTTTCAATTTGAGGTACTCGATGGTACCCTAGTTGTTGACTTGTGATGGAAAATGCCCCAAGGAGGATGGGCGAGATGTACTTGATGTGCCCCTCTGTTGATGGGTGATAGATGGGTGATAGGTATTCTGGTGTTTCCCTTGTCATGTGAGTGATGCCTCTCCAGGTGTTGTTTGTGGTAGTTTTTTTTTTTTTTTTTTTTTTTTTTTTTTTCTGAATTTCATTTTTATTTAGCTTCGGCTCTTTCATCTTTGAAGCTTGCCTTTTTCTGCTATCATTTTTTTGAATGCTTCGGATTTTTTTTCGACATTTTCGAAGCTTGCCTTTTTCTCATGTTGCTTTTGCTTTTTATTGTCATCATTGGTGGAGGGATCTATTCCCATGAGGTTCTTTGCTGAATCTTTATTGGTGAGGATTATTTTGGAAGCCACTCCTGGCTTTGGTTAGGGAGCCATTTATGGTCTTGGCATTCTCTTAGATCATCCTTCATTCAGTTGAGGAGTAGGGCGCGATGGCCTCTTCATGCTTATGGGCTTGCTTATATGGTCGACTCCGGTTCTATCCCCGTCTTGTTGTTGATGTGTCTTTTTTCTTGGTGGTTATATGAAACCACTTGTATGGAATGCCCTTGTTGGGGCTATGCTTTTTGACATGATCTTGGATTTTAAGGCACTGTATAGTTGTTGATCTTTTTTACGAGTGGTTTGGCCTCTTGATTCCTCCAGCAAGTGATGGATAGACACACACAAAGAATGCAAGAATGCAAAAGAAAATGCAAAGTAGAAATGGATTGGATTTTTTTTTTTAAATTTTTTTGTGAACTTATACCCTTTTTTGCACACTTGTGCCATATGCATGTTATGCAATGATGCTTCTATGCTAATGTTTACAATGCAAATTTATTTTTAATTTCAAGAAATTAATCTATGCGCATTGATCAATGACATGGATTGTTAGCCTTTAGCCTTGTCAAATCCAGTGTTGCTTCTTGAACCTAAGGTTTGTGTAGTTCAGCCCTCTCGCTTGTACCGGATATGATATGTTAGCCCTTAGATCAGGTGTACCTAGACTCTATTCTAGGACACCTCCATCTTCTCCTTGTGAGTGTTCACTATGCATACTCCGTGTATCTCTCAAATTTATCTTAATGCCATATAGGTCAAGAGGAAAGATAGGAAAAGGATATATACATATATATTTTTTGTAAAAGTTATGGTAGAAAGGATTTTTTTCAAAAATGGTTTATAGAAGAATGGATGGCCGAGGTAGCCTAGTGGTTTAGGCTGATGAACAAGCACATTCAAAGTGAGGAAATCATTTTCTGCGTTAGCTTATTATTTCCTTTAAAGTTAAGCGATGACATGGGATTGCATATTGATTAAATGATCTTCTCGAGCCGCCTTTCAATTTTCAGCTCGGGATGTTGCTTTGTCCTAACTTTTGCCTAGGTTACTTGAGATGTGTTCCCTAGT